TGCTTATGCGATCGAAGTTCAAGATACAGAGTCAGATCTCAAAGATGCGATTGTCTTCTTCGTCCGTCCAAAAGAAGTCCGCCCGGAAGCCAAGATTGCTTTTGTCTTTTCGACGTTTACGTACCTCGCGTATGCGAATGAACATATGTACGACGAGACCAAGTCAACACATATCTCTTTCCCTGAAGGTGTTCAGCTCGTCGCGTCTGACAACTACTACAAGATGGTGCGGCGTCATGATCTTGGTCTCGCTATCTACGATCTCCACAGCGATGGTTCAGGCGTTGTGTACAGCACCACCAAACGACCGATTCTGAATGTGCGGCCTGACTATATACACTGGGGCTTTCAGCGACCACGGGAGTTCTCAGCTGATCTGCTAATGGTTGGATTTCTTGAGAAGCATTTCGGTGACGGCTACGATATTCTTACAGACCATGATCTTCATCTCCGCGGTCGTGCTGCATTGTCTCAGTATGATGTTGTCATTTCTGGCTCTCATCCGGAATATCCTTCCGCAGAGTCGCTTGATGCTTACGAAGGACATGCCAAGAATGGAGGATCACTTATCTATGCCGGTGGTAATGGATTCTATGTAAGCAACCCTATTGCGAAACTGATACGGAGCTGACGTATTTTTCAGTGGAAGTCGGTTACAGATCCCAAGCGACCTCATCGCATGGAAGTTCGACGCGCTGATGTTGGTGCCCGAACCCATGAGAACCCCCCAGGCGAGCGCCATCACGCACTAAATGGTCAACTCGGTGGTCTCTGGCGCTCAATCGGCCGCCCGCCCAACGAGCTCTGGGGTATTGGCAGCTGTGCTTCAGGTAAAGGCCCCGGTCGACCATTCATTCCAACCGACGAGGCTCTCAACAATTCTTCACTGGAGTGGCTTTGGAAAGGCCTTAACGAAGAGTCCCGAAAGCTCCTCGGAACAAAGGGTCTTGCTGGGGGTGCAAGTGGCGATGAGCTCGACCGTCTTGATATGGCTATTGGTAGTCCGGCTAATGCCATCTTGCTTGCCCGAAGTGAGCGCCATGATGATCATTTTATGCTGTTCAACGAAGAGCTCATCTTCCCCATGATCGGAACGCTCGGCTCGACTTCGCCGCTTGTGAGGAGCGACATGGTATACTACGAGACTAATGGAGGCGGTTCTGTTTTCAGTGTTGGAAGTATTAACTGGAACAATTCTCTGGCGTGGGATGGGTATCAGAATGATGTTGCGCAGGTGACTGGGAATGTCATCCGAGAGTTCCTCGCGCGCGGGAAGAAGAATGCATCGACATGAAAACAATGAAGCGAACCCGCAAGGCCAAAAGAAGTAATAGTTTGGTTTACCTCAAGCTCAAATAGACATATCTATACAAATTCCAAATCTATACAGTTTTCCTACTTGCCATTCCTCCCCTCAAAGCGTATGTCGTCCTTGCTCCATGATTTCTCACTCAACCCCGCTGTCGCTATGAACAACGACCTTCTCTGTCTCCTTCCCAGCAGCCATCTCCTCAAAGTAAGACTCATCCTTCTTCTCACGGCTGACATACCCAGGGGGCGTCCACTTGGCACTCTCCCATGCCTTGAGGTCAGGCAAACAGTACATCATGTCGATATGCTCGAGACTCAGAGTCTTTGACTCGTACAGGAAGAAGTATACGATGACAGTGCCAATGAGATTCATGCCGGCGAACACATAGCCAAAGGCGTAAGAAATACCAGCGTCGGCGAATGGAGTGAGGAAGCTAATGAGGACTGATGCATGTCAGCAATAGCACGCTATTTGTATGATGGGGCACTTACAGTTTGCAAGCCAGTTGCTCGCAGTAGCCAACGAAGCCTGTTTGGCTCGAGTGCGCAAAGGAAAGACTTCTCCAACAACGACCCAGCCGAGTGGACCCCAGCTGACAGCGAAGGAGGCGATGAACATGCAAGCGGAAACAATCATGACGATGCCACTGGTACTGCTGCCCTCGGGGTCAATGGCTGTCCCGACAGAAGCAAAGATAAGTAGCCAAGCAGTCTGCCATAAACCGCCGATGATGAGGGGCCAGCGACGGCCGAACTTTTCTGCGGAGTAAATGCCGAAGAAGGTCATTCCGACGTTGATGGCGCCGAGGATGAGTTGGACGAGGATGGGGTCGTCAATGCCGGCAGACTCAAAGATGGTGGCTCCGTAGTACTGGTCTCCTGTTAGCTTCTGTCGCTCAATTGAAGCGGTCTGCTTACGAAGAAATAGTTGGCGCCAGTCCACTGCTGAAAGAACTGAACCGCCATTCCAAGGAGTGTTCGGTACAGCACCTTAGGTCCCTTATTGAGCACACCAAAGCATTCCAACCAGCTTCCCTGTCCAACCTTTCGTTCCTCCTCTAGCAGAATCCTCATCTCCTGAATATTATCCTCAACAATCGGATTCTTCACATCACTCATCATCCCCCTCAGTCTCGCTAGCGATGTCCTCACACCATCCCAATCCTCTCTCATGGCAAGCCATCTTGGAGATTCAGGACAAGCCAAGACCCCAAGGCCAAGAGGAATCGAGAAGGCCATCTCAATAGCGATAACAATTCTCCACGATGCATCGTTATCTTCAATCTCTCGAACGCCATAGTTGACAATGTTAGAGATAAGAATGCCGAAACAGATCATAAGCTGATATGATGACACGACAGCACCGCGAATTTCTCGCGGTGCACACTCGCTCTGGAACATGGGGACGCCGATGGAGAGGGCGCCGACACCAAGACCGGCGATGAGACGGCCTATCATCATGTGGACCCATGAGTACATGGCCGTAATTTGGATGACGTTGCCGAGGAGGAAGATGACGACGAAAATGGTGAGACTCCATCTTCTACCATACCAATCTGCAGTGCTGAGTCGCAACGTTAGTAGGCAGTCGCGGCAATTTAGATGGGAGACTTACTAGGATCCTGACAATGCTCCAATGAGACATCCGATGCTCATAAGAGACACGAGGATACCTTGGATAGCAGGGACCCAGTATTTAGTGCCGTCATCGTCTGTCTGAGCGAAACGGTCGACGTAGTCTCTGAATAAAAGCATAGCCGAGATTTGACCTGTTTCACGTCAGACTCAGTAACACCGAGGATTTTGGTGTCGCTCACCAGTATCATAGCCAAACAGAAAGCCTCCAAGAGAGGTGATAAAGGCCAAGACCAGAGCCTCAGCTCCGCAGGCTGCCCCGTTGACAGTGAAAGATCTGGTTATGTATTAGCTCTCGTTTACTATCCCAAGGTTATAAGAGATAAGAAACGTACTTGTTCCCAAGCATATTGTCAGTCAATGTCTTGTAAACCCAAACCAATTTATCTGCTCTTCTCCTTGAACGCCGTCGCATCCATCTATTTATTCCCTCCATCTCCAGCGGATCCTCTAAGTCCCGTGAGGCCTTTCGAAACCACGACAACGCGATACTCAAACCTCCAATTCTGCTCAGCGGATCAATACGTCTCACCGTTATCCTATCGGGGAACAAGGCTAAATAGAATACTTCACCTTTTACCCGTCAAGGTGAGGCTCCCCGGATATAACCAAAGGGCCGAATCCAGGGGGTTTAGAGTATTGGGCCGAAGAGCGCCGGACCGGTGAGCATGGTTTATCCTAGCGGGCGATGTTTATTCTCCGTGGGATGTGTTTTACTGTGGGGAATCACGCGTGGGGTCACCGCTGGACTTCCCCATGATAGGAGAAATGGGGTTGTGGGATGGGAAAAAGTTGGGGTGATTCAACGTCATGGGAGAGACGTATGCTGTGCTTCTTGTTCTGCACCGCTTGTTTATTGCTGCACTACAAAACTTGCACTTCAATATAAGGGATGTTGCTCGATCATAAGAAGCAAATGAGGACCTGACTTACGCAAAAGATTGCAAATGAAAATGTCAGCACAGACAAAATCCGTGGCAGTGAGGCCGCTATAGCCGGGTCTTGGCGTCCATCAGCTCGGGACTGAACAGGTAGCACCATCACCTGACTTCGGCAAAGATGCTGGGAGGCATGGGACTTGCGGAGATTTAATTAAGTATTATGCTTGAAGTTAAATGACTCAGTTAAATTCTCGTGTCACGTTCTTCGTGAAGCAACGTTCCATAACGCACTGAGCAATGGCTGGCCTGCACTCTGTTCGAAGAATTGGAGTGGGTGGCATGACAGCACGGATTACCATTTCCGGATTATCGCTCTGTGTGCAGAGCATTCTCTGTAATCGAGCATTATCCAAGTTTGACAATGGCAATTGATTTTTTTCAACAAGTGCTGTTACCAAACTAATTTTATATTGCGAGATAACAATTTTTTCACCACAGTTTTGTCGAGGCGGTCCATCATAGCCACTAATTTGTATCAATTTTCGACTGGAGTCTGTTGCTTCTAGTAACAACGATTCAAGGCACATCTTGGCGGCCTGCGTAAGTCCAAAGCAGTCTTGCAAAGTCTCATAGAGTAGACAGCATGTTTGCACACTCGTTTTGGCGTTTAATCGTCTCTGAAATAAAGTAAATTGAAAATCATCAATCTCTAGGTTAGGTTGACCATGCCAATTGAAGGGAAGATACATTAGTTACTTTGATTGGACTAACGATACTCCACTCCAGTACCACAAAACACAAAGCCTCTTGTTTGGATAAGCTATAAATAGAGTCACCACGGAACTAAGCGGCCCGCCCAGACTCTGATCCGATAACTCGGAAATAACGTGGAGCAGAGCCACTGAATCAACACTGTAGCCAAACCCTGATTATGTTTTGCTCATCCAAAAGCCAAAAGCTACAACTTCAAATGACATTGGCCATGGCAGATGGACACAAACTGTATCTCCAAACTTGCAGTGCCTCGTTTGTTAAGCCTCCGTTTACGAAAGCTTACGTCATGTGCACCAGCTGCGATGACAGCTCTAGGCATCCACGCCTAAAGAGTTGAACCTGCAACTTATCTCTCCCTATCCCGCTCCTGGCATACTCTCAACTTTTCATCATCTAAAAATGTCGGAACATCGAGAAATCCCAAAATTCACCGTCGATCTGTCTCTCCCTCCCGAGACCCGCTACGACCATATCGTTCCGCACTTCAAAACCGCCGTGGACTCGTGCGATTTACCCTCCCTATTCTATACCCTCCTCAACGAACTTGCTGGGAAATCGGCAGGGAAAATAATCGCTGCTGTGTCGCCGCTGCTTATGCGACGCCTTCATTCAGATGAGGAAAATGCAGAATTGGTCGGCATCTCGAAAGCGATTGGCATTCCCATGCATATCCTCGTTGCCTTCAATGTTCTATTGGACCTTTTGTTGGGATGCACGAGCGGCGGGGTACGCACGCTTGATCCAGATTCTGCAGTGAAAACGACACGGATGCTTCATTTTCGGACTCTCGACTGGGGCATGCATGAATTGAGAAATATCATCGTCGAACTCGACTTTGTCCGTACGCCCCAAGGCCCGGTTGTTGCTACAACAGTTGGGTATCTTGGGTACATTGGGGCTTTGACAGGAGTACGAAATGGCATGAGTTTGAGTTTGAACTTTAGACCGCACCACGCCAGGGAGACTCTTCGGCAACGACTGTCTTACAGATACCACCAGGTGATGGTGGTTCTTGGGCAGAGACAGTCAATATCAAGCAGCCTGAGAGAAATTCTACTAGGCAACTCAACGACACTGGAGAAACAGTCCAATGAAACGCACGAGTCGGACAGTATCAGCCCAGATTTGCAGAACCAATATGTACAGCAAGTCCTCACAAAACTCTCGACATCCAGTTCAACAGCTGCATATCTCATTCTCTGCCAACCAGACCGCGTCTTGGTCGTGGAGAAAGACCATCGCAGCGCATCGATCCGTGAATCCGACACATTCCTCACCGCCTACAACCACGACTTCAAAGATGAAGATAATCCCGCGCATCTCCAACAGGCCGCTGCCGAACTCGCAGAAGGCGAAGATGCAACGGGCATGGCAGACCTGGTGGCCTATTCAATTGAAAGAAAGCAGGATTTGGATAAGTTATGGAGGAAATGTGTTCGAGCTTGTAAAAGAAGGTACAGGCTGCGGAATGATATCGTGACGAGGGAGGATGTTGTCAAATTTTTGCAGAATGATATGATTCGGAATGAAGAGACGCATTACGCTGTCATCATGGATCCAAAGGAGGGGAAGGTCATGTGGCGGAGGGCGTATGAGTATGTCAGTGAGAGTGAACGCGAGAGTACGGAGGAGAGTTAGTGCTGTCCAGATGAATGAGTGCCACAGTTTACTATGGATTTAACATGAGTAACACTTGAAAGGTTAGGGAAGGGTAGCTTTGGACGATGATTTTACACTCAATGGTTTAGCTAGTTGGGCTTCTAGACATATTGTGATCAAAACACTTGGGGGGCTTCGAAAACTTCTTCAGCGACAATGTCACATATCTTCATGCGACCCTGAATACAGGGCTGAGTCTTCTATGGATGTGAACAAGTGAGCGTAAGCAGCATTGAAGCAGCGAGCCAATAGGACAGAGGTTTAAACGAACTGACCAATCACATAGAGAAGTTGACCAGGGCCACCATATGGAGACCAATTGAACCATCCAATCATTCTAAAGCCATCCAGAGTAAACAGCGCGGCATATACAACATAATGATCTACAATGGACATCTTGGCAAGCCCCGAATGCGACCGCATACTCCTTCCTCCTCTATGGAACACGGCTCGGATACACAGGGGAGAATCTGATGTCAGCAGGACTGCGTGTGGGAAAGTTTATCCCAGTCTGTTGCATACAACTTACTCTTGTGTCCAGAGTAGACCACGAATGGAACCAGTTGCGAGGGGAGATGTAAACGACCGATATCTTACTGTATCCAGGTACGATGTCAGCCGCAGGGGTTGACATCCAAGATATCATTCCATGAAGGTGCTCGCCACAAGTCGAAGCACTGACGGAAACCATTATCCAGTGACATGTTGAACTTTCTTGGCGCCATTTTCAGCTGGTATAACTGCCGGCCGTAGGTCAAATCAAGTTACTTCATCCCTATGCCTAACTAGCACTTATAGATATACCTACTTTGCATTACCGGACAGTGGGCACCTGTATAAGCCTATTTCGGGTTGATAATCCAGGACTGCGTGAACAAGTAAAGCGTAAGTCTCAGACCGTTTATGAGACGAAGATCTCAGTACCTTGGACTTGTATGTTTGTGGCGCTACGTAGCAACAATCCTTCTCAAACGTATAGAAGTTTACTAATCACTTGGTGGGACAATTACCACTCCGTCTTTCCAACGGTGATCTCATGGTCTGTGAACTGTAGACAAAAGGACCCCTCACTTAGACCCGAGGCTATCAGCTTGCACATCACGGGTAGATGATTCGCTGGTGTCAAGCTTCCAGACCCGCCCTAGCCATTTTCTGACACTTTCTGACATTTTCTGACCTGGAGACGCGGGTAATTGGGGGCTGAACTTCAGCCCCATCATAGCTAAGCTAGGTGCAATGTATACGCCCCTGGTACTTGATGACAATCGACAAAACCTGTACAGAGGATCGAGGAAATCTTCCTCCGGCTGACCATGTTCACAAGGCCCCATGCGAAGGAATGAGCTTTGTACGAGGGACGAGATGAGAGCCTTTTGTGGAAATTGCCGAGAAATTGACGCTCAACACGAGTAGACAAGGGAGTTGAGTGAAAATAAAAGGTCACGACGCCCAGTTCAAAAGTCCTCCATCACCATCTCCTTTCATCAAATCACCAACAATCTCAATATAAAGCCCCCCATACTTTCTCAAAATGAAGATATATACCATTCTCACTGCTCTCGGCAGCATCCTCGCCTTCAACACCCAGGCCGTCAACGCGGGATGCTACTCCGGAGGCGACCCCTGGCCCAACAAAGACCAAGCAGCCCAGTTCGTCTGGGACGCCTGCTACGGTTCTCAGGGCATGTTCTCTGGACAGTTCAGGCCCGGGCAGACCAAGTCCATGTGTCCCCGAAGCGGCCAGGTCGGCCTTGTCTTTGAAGTTCAGAACCAGTGGGACCAGACTCTTGACCTCAATAACGACGACTGCTACACGCGTCTCAAGAACGAGATCTATGGCTGTGACCGTGGTGGAGAGTCCACTGTTTCTAAGTGGCGTTTCCGGTGAGTTTGCTTGAGTGTAGAAGTCTAATGAGTTTAGGAGCTGACGTGCTTGGCAGTGCCGATCCCGGTAACTGTTAAATGCTCAAGGATATTTATGTTAAGGACCCCGAATAGGAGGAAGTGGAGAGTGGGAGCAAGGGAGACCGAGTTGGAGGATTTCATTTCTATGTCACTCATTTCGCCAAATATCTTTACTTCTGTCGTTATGAACAGTATTAGTCACTCATTAGAGCAAGAAAAATACCTAGGCCTCTCAAGGGGCGTGTGAGAGGTTATCAAATATCTCGCTGTGCATTGGTATCCCGAAGTTTGTATCTATAAAACATTAAAAACAACATATGGAGAAACTACACCAGATCTCATCAATTGCAACTTCAATCCATCGAGGCCTATGATCAACTACTAGGCTTATGAACTGATAATCAAATAGCTCATGGATCAAGCGTTCTGAAGCTGCGCCTCTTCATCCACATCTGGACTGCACGCTGCATCTGTTCCGTCAAGCCGTACGTCAAAGCGTTGACGAGCCCTATGAACTGCGTTGAAGCTTGAAGACCAGTGAGCCACTTCGGCGACGTGCCGACCGACTCAGCCAAGCGGTTCGCCATGCCCGGCAGCCATAGAATGATATACGCAATTGGGTATCCATTCAAAAGAAGCATTCTCCTCAGGTTCGGAGACTTCGGTACGCGATGGTTTGGTCCGTTACCAGTCGAGACATTTTGCGTATTGTTCGTTCCGTGCTCTTCGGCCGTGGGCGGTTCTGGCTCAGGCATGGCAGATGCTGACCACTGGACCTTCCCACCAGGTGATGTATCCTCCCCCTCACTCTGGTCTCCCTTTGCGATGCCCCTCGCCTCAAGTTCATATGAGGCCTCTACCGTGGTAGTGACCCATATCCGTTGTGTATCCGACTGCTCGGCGTTTTCTCGATCGATTCTCGACTGCGCATTCGTGGCATATCCTTTTGTAGTAGAGGAAGAAAGACCGTATTTGACGAAACTGAAGAGCCGTCGTAGTTTGATGTATATGTAAGTGTAAATAGCCACTGTTGCAAGGAAGATGGCGATGCGCCAAGCGTGAGTGAGGCCGTAGCGGAGACCTAGATGTTGGGTCTGGATCCAGCACCAGTTCCCACTCACTGGCCCATAGACATGGAGACCGAGTCCGACGAAGCCTGAGAGTCATTTAGCATAATTGTCAGTTTATGAGCTCCTGTGAACCTACTGGTGATCGTGCCAGGAATCCAAGGTACAAGGCAGACGATAGCAGTCATCAGTCTCGACGAGTCGTCAAGGATTTGTTGTCGCTGAACCGCTAGTAGTACCGAAACAGAAATGATAAGAATGTTGAAATCGATCGCCTGCACTGAGAATTGACCAACCCAGGCATTGGCGACGCAACCAGTGCTGGGGGACGCTTTCGGATCCGCGTAGCCATCCTTAATGGCGAGGATACCAGATACTGTATTGTTGAGGCTGTTGATAAAGTCTTGATCATCGAGTTAGGTAAACCGAAGCGTCTGAAGAGATTGATTGACCTACCTGCAACGAGGAGGTTCACAATCAACGCATGGCGAAAATGGCGTCGCGGCGGAGGAACAATAACATGAAGACAGAGCGCGAAGAAGCTCGCAACGCAGGATAGCAACGATCCGGTTAATGTAGGAATTGAAATCGACAGGTTGGCCGGAATAGTGGCCATCATGGCTGATATTGTTGAAGAAGGAAAGACATTTGCTTTTTCCAAAAGAACATGTGAGACATGTCCATCTGAAGAATTTTGCATCGCTTTGTTATAAAGCACCTGAAAGGGGGGCCTGAGCCCAAAGGGCTAGACCAACCTTGGAATGTCAAAATCGATGAAACTGCGCCAAAACGTCACATCACAAGTATCACCTTCCGCTTTTTCCCACGTTCATGACAGAATTATTGCCGTTGGCCGTGTTTTACACTCTGCGCTAAAGAGATCGGCAGAAAGTGTCTTGATGAAAGAGGAAGCTCTTACAAGGGGTTGCGGCGCTGTGATTGGCGGTTTGTTTCAGCTGTTGGAGAAACCCCTGTTGATAATCGTAATAGCGCTATCCGGCGTCGGACTCTCCGCTGTTCAGGGGCTGAGAATAGAGTTTGCAGTTATTGATTCTGTAACTTATCCGTCCAGTAAGGGTTGTACACCCGTAAGACGAAGGTTGAGGATGGGCTAGAATGAAGTGATAATAGTCTTTAGGCAGGTCTAGAGTCATGCTTAACAAGAGTGGTCCGATGGCTTACCCGTCGGTCTAAATTATACCGCCACCAAAACTATCACTTTAACCATCTCCACAACGCTGGCAATTACCGTTTTTGTAACACTCACACTCACGAACACTTGCTGGGGTCTGATGTTGCCAAAAACAATGGCTGTTCACGCACGACGATCTGAACAGCTAGACTAGGGTTGTTAGTCGTAGCTTGATGTTGTCGCTCCGAGATAATCTGATAAGACAAACCATACAGACAGCAGAGACCGTAGCTTAAACCTTTACCCTCGATTGACATAAGGCGGGTAAACTAAGTCCGACTAACGATACTCTTAATAACGTCAATGGCTTCGATAGGACCCCAGTTCTCCAGACGAGCTAGCCATGTTTAGAAAACATTGCGACAGTATCGAAGTCTATGTTACGGCAAGAAAAAACGGGTTCTCAGACTTCTCGACATTCTCCAAACTACTGGGGTTTTACTTAATTTGCCCTCATGACCAGATGCAAAACAGCAGACATGGTTGTGAAACAAGGTCCACCACTTGCGTCACGTTACATCAAAGATAACCACCGGCATATCAGCGAAGACACTGTCTAATAAGCCAGCTGCGATGGCAAGTAATTGAAAAGGACATAATGCTAAGCTAGTTCAGACCTCATTGGCCAGAAAAATGCTATCGGTGATGGATACCGAGATCGATCTATCGCGTCTTGGCTCGCCCTAAGTTTTCTGCAGGGCCCACTGCACAGTTCGATCGAGCCTTGGCAGAGTCTGTGTTATGTCGGCAGATAGAAATCAGACTAACGGCCGGGGTATGGGCTATCCGTAGCGCTATGATTCTCTTTTGCAGCTTGCCATGGGAGTTAGTTTAGGGTTTTAAGTGACTGAACTTCCGATCAAGTGGAACTATGTATATTACCATGTCCGAGAACAACTTTGTCACCCATGCTCACCTCGTATCTGAGATAAAAAAAGAAAATGAGCCTAGGTTCTGATGTTGAGGTTATTGGCTGGTTGGTAGTTGAACTTTTGAAGCCTATGAAATCTCAGCAAGCTACACGGCGCGACAAAATCTTGTCCGCTTGAAAGATAATCCAAAGTTATTGGAATACATGGCGAACAGTCTGTTATTCCAATCTCATGTCTCTTAGAGTACTTGCAAAAGAAGATAACTATCTATAAATCTTGCTCATACAGTCCAAATCCTTCGTAAGATCCTCCAAGTATCAGCGAGAAGTGAGACACGATGTGTCAAGTGAACCCTTACGGCACGACAGCTCGTTTGCTAAAAGCAGAGCAAAAGATCGGGATGTCAACCCTATACCTCTTCATGTATTCTGGCCTGGACACGAAAAGCAGTCTGACCATATTTAGACAGACTGCAGTGCAGGAAGGATAGCAGGTAACTTACCAAGGTGATTTTTATGCATCATCAGCCGCCAAACTGCCGAAAGGTAATGATCAGAGAGAGACAGCATAGATAAGGCAAAAAGGCGTTAGGCTTGTGACTCAGAATTTAAATCAGCAGAGATGATCCAGTGGAAAGTGCAGGAAGATAGAATACGATATAAGAAATTGTCAGGTCATTATAACTATACCTAAGAAAGAATAAAGGAATTAAAACTGTTTAATTCAAAGACACTTAAAATATATTTCTATTCAGTATAGAGCTCGACGTTCTTTCGATAGTCCCTGAAAGCCATTCCAATCCCTCGGCATCATCTCCCAAGTCATCCAACTCTGTCTGTGAGTGAGCATGCACTCTCGTCGAGCTTCTATCACTCATATCAATCATGTCTATCCTGGAAACTTCAAAGGGGCCTTTGAAGCTGTGGTTTGTATCCCCGGTCATCGCACTGTTGACTGCAGTATCGCTGGCATTCTCAGGGCAGTGTTGGTTGCTCTCAGTTACGGGCGGATCCCGTGGCGACATTTCAAGATGCGTGGGTAGTGAATCTTCCGTAATTGGGAACCTAGACCTGACCAACTTGAGCAACGGCCGCAGGGTGGCAAGACTGCAGGCTGTAATGGCTAGTCCCTGCTCAATAGTAGACCAGACTGCCATATCTATGGCGTTCCCTATTTTTTTTTAAACCTGTTAGCTGGCTCATCCTTGAGCAAGTGGGGAGTTTATAGCATACAAAGGAGGTCAGGCTCTTTAAGTTTTACAAGACTTGGAAATCGAGCAATGACTGCTACACATGATCTAATGTAAGTTTAGTACTAGGAACAATCATCGTCGATCGTTTAGGTAATAAACTCACATACAACCCATAGAAAGAACGGGTATAAGACAAAGCTTTGTCTTCATATCAAGATCCAATTTCCATACCGTGACAGCGGAAAGAGAAACAGTGGCCAAATCCGACAAAATAGTCGCTACACTATACAATGCAGCGGCCATGACAGTAAAATCCATTCCGACACATATACCACTTTGGCTCTTGTCCCATAAGAAAGAGGCAGGGTTGCACTGAAATAGTAATGTTGCAAGGAGAAAAACACCTGTAAATGTAGCCAGGGCTGTTGCAAGATAAATGATAATCTGGTGCCTGTTTGTAGCTGAAACAAGCAAGAACCAGCAGATTGTTACCCTGGCTTTCACTGTAGCAAGAGAGTAAAAGATGCAACAGAGCCAGAAATACTATGGCGAATTATTAGATCATACCTCACAGAATGAAATGGGGGCTCACCTTTACAGTCATAAAGATGTGGCTGATCTCAACATCCTCGAGATGTTGTCCAAGCCCGTACTTGACAGACACAGTCGAAAAGCTTGCACTCAAAGCAAAAAAGCTCTATCAGTTTTACAATCAGTAGGGAACAAGGGGTTCCAGAACAGAACTTACTGTTCCAACAATGATGAAGTAATCATCGACCGAGAATTTCCTCACGATGAACAGTCGAACATAACAGCGCAATAGAAGGGAGATAAACGAAACAAAGAAGAAGACTGCATTGATGATAACAAGTTTTTTCCCTCGGTTATTCATCTTAAAAGTAAATGCGGGGTCATGAAACACCTAGCATATAAACCTTTAAACTGTGATGTAGTGTTTACAGGTTTGAACTCCAATTTGGAGGCTAAGCGTCTTCCAGGATCCAAGGGCTGTTGAGGAACTGTTAAAGATACTGAATATTAAGTCCGATTATATAATACTTTTGTTTCAAAAAGAAACTCCTAAGGCGAACTCTCTCTTCTTTGTCTTTTCTTTATATAGAGTATACATTGAAAGCAACATCAGTGACCTCAGCTGCAATTGCTTATAACTGTCTTACCTGATGCCGGAAAAGGCTATCAAGGGATTAGTAGCGTTTTATTTCGGCCAGTACAAACTCATGATTAGGTTCCATAAGATTTTATGTAGACCATAAAGTGTAAAAAAGAGACCTAGTCTGGTATTGGCTTAGAGTAAGGGAGGGTTACCAGAGACCGAGTTCAAGGGGAAGTGGGTCTCGAAGATTGATGGATTTAGAGCCATTAACATCTTGCCACTCGGTGAAATAGATCTCGGTTGCATCATAGGCTTGCGGGGAAACAAATGGCCATTAAGACAAAAGGTTTATCTACAGATTCATTTGCAATAGCTCTGTAACGCCATTTGTTGAAAGGGATGCGTGTGTATTGACTGTGCCGAACTGAGGTCTCGGGCCGAGTGATCCGGCTGATAATTGCGAGGTAACACCATTAACTACAGTCGGGTTGGTGCATCTGCCAGATATCTATTTTTAGTATAATTTCAGGGATCGGCTAGAGGCGCATGCGCTGTTATTGCAGTGCAAAACCCGAGCAATGACAGATGACTACCGGTTTTTGGGAATGCAAACAATAGCTGGAATGCCCTGAGATCAGACCTCAGCGGCACAAGAGCCGGTTCGCAAGATTACCAAATGTAGCATTACAACATGTTTGGGCCTTTGCATTATGTTTACAGAGAAGGATACTTCTGCATACTGGATCGAATCCTAGGCCATGAGCTTAGATATTAAATACTGGCTGGCTAGACACCTGGTAATACATTATGATCGTGTGCTTAGATAACCAAAGTGATCCTGATCGTAGACATAGCTCTACAGACGACTGACAAGACATGGGTGATATAGGTCAATTAAGTACCAAGCTCAACTCATAGAGATGAGAAGGTAAGGCTCGCTTTAATCGATGCTAATCTAGGAATGCAAATACAGTGATCCAAACCCCACAAGAGACTATGAACCGTCGAAGTGTACAGTAGGGAATGCGCGTTTAGATGGCCATAGCAACGGCAATACCGGCAATTCCAGCCATTCCGAGGATATCAGCACCCATGGTAGGGGCAGCAGCGCCCTTGGACTTGGAGGTGGAGTGAGAGGTGGCGCTGGCCTTGGCGGTGTCGGTCTTGGTGGTGGTAGAGTGATGCTCAGTCCTGTTGCTGTCAGTGAGATTCATGCCGTTGAGATGAGAAGGGCATACTTGGTGCTGGTGGTAGTGGTGGAAGCAGCCATGGCGCAGGTGGCCAGAGCAGCAGCGAGGAGGAAGTTCAGCTTCATGTTGAAGGATTAAGGTATTAACTTGAAAGTTATAAGGTTTGAAAGATTGTAGTTGAGTAAAGAGTGAATGAGATGTGATGGTTGATGCAGTTTAAGCTTTCCAGAATGAGGCTGCCATCTCAGCCCTTTTGTACTCGAAATGTCCATGGTGTTTACTGTCGCAGACCTGTAATTGAGTTATACGATGTTCATTATTGGCTAATGCGTAAACCGGCATTTCGGTGCCGCAGTCAGCGAGGCTAGTACTAATCCGCTCGCCTACGAGCCTCAACGCGGGCCGATCGAGGGGAGGACCCAATAGCTGTGGCGCGCAGCAAGGAAATACGAGACCTCCAACTGTCAGAATTCAGTCATGCCATAACAGTAGAGGATGACGCGGCGACGGAGTCTGGAGAGAAGGGCTGACTCCGCCCCTCCGCGGATCACCGTTGGTTCGTTGGTGGTGCCGTATTATCCAGGCAATGTTTAGAGTTGGGGTCAGTTTATGGAAATTGCCGAGGTCTAGAACACACTAATGATGGCTCAGATCCAATTGTTTCATCCTGTGCAATGGTTTATTGGTGCTGACGTTGTAATCTTTCGGCAATTTGGTACCGATTGATCGCCCCGTCTGAACGACGTGGCTTGCTTGATTGGTTTGCTTTGGTATTGCCCCGGAAAACGGCTGATCTGCTAATTTAGCCCATCCCTGGTGACATGCAGGAACATGATGTCACAGCGGTGTGCTGAGAGGAGAGTTGGATAGCTTCAGGGTAGTACGCTCTGTTTGGACCGAGTAAAAGGTTCGAGATACTGCTTCACGAGTAGATCTGTATGGATACTCAATATTCAAGCTTAATGTGAGCCAACGGGTATGCGAGGCTTGATCATCTACTCAAAATAATACTCCGAGACCTTGGGATCTATGCTTAATGCTAAAGTCGGGACGGCTGAGAAATGGAGTGTATGTTAGTCAACAAGACAGTCTTTGTACATGAGAATATCTGCAAAGGTAGGCGCTGGCTTATGCTCCGACTCTCAGTCTTCACCGGGGAAAGAGTATACAAGACGCGACGTCTCTCCGTATCTGTCTCTGTCTGAACGCAACAGCCGTATCATGAAGTTGGACATTCTCGTGGATCCAAGACCATGACAAAAGATCTCGGAAAGCTGACGTATACCATCGACTGTGCCGTGATAATTTTCATCCTGCCTAGGAGGCTTTGCCTTTGTTGGCTTCCTTCACCGCGGATCCCATTTAGTGTACACGCGTCACATACAGCATTGAGATGAGGTAGGCCGATGAGCGCAAGGCAGAGTCATTGTCTTACGCAACAAGATAGCTATAAGGATGAGGCATAATTGATGGAAAGAATGAGTGTGTATGGTCTCTGCCGTATTGTTTACGAGCTTAGCTTGGGATTGACCAACCACGATAGAGTCTGCGTACCTAGACCAGGTTCTTTAGTGCCTAACCCACAGACAGCTCCTACGCGACCCCTGTCTCGTATGTACTTGAATCACGCCTTTGGATAGTGTCTTAGTCTATACTGGATAAGCTGTCCGAGTGACAGATCCCAAGCGAATCGGAGCTCCTGTGTCATCGCTGTCCATGTCATGACCACGACCCAATACTTCCTGCGATGTCTGTCCGCTATCATAAGCACCTTGACCACGGAACAGGTCAAGCTCTCGAGGAAGTGTTCTGGAATACTCTAAAGAACAACGCACATGTCAGCCAGTGTTCCTAAAAGATTCCCTTACGGGCTTAGCGGCGACTCACCGTGATACGTGCGCAATGCCTGCAAAAATGGGACCACCAGTATCAAGAGGCACAGCAGCTGACTAACACCCTCAATATCGCTCTCAGACTCCATCCCTTCCCACGCACCAAGTACATATATTCTCTCCGCCTGAATCCACCAAACTCCAAGGCCAAACCACAACACCCCATCAAAAAGAAGAACGCCCAGTGCTTCCGAATTCAATGCATAATACAATGGCATAAATATCAACCGCAACCAGCGACGCTTCTGTTCATTCTTTGGTGCTCCCAAGGCTCTGTCATCGGAACCGATTTTCTTCATCCGGTTCATCCACCAAATCGAGACTGCGGGCCATAATGACAGACACTGGATTGTATACCCTTGAATGAGGAGGACATAGCTCGCGATCAGCCATGAGAGAGGACTTCCTGACTTGTTCATTCCGATTGCACAATTCGCTTTCCGTTCATCGTAATTGTCCCATCCTCCAGCCCCGGTAATGAAAGTGCAGTATAACAATAAGGCGGCAAGAACAAGCATGGCGCAAATTCGACATATCATGTCTGCGCCCAAAGACGAAGTTATCGCAGCTTTCCGGAGATAATGCTGGTTATCCGGATGGTAATGAACAGGCTTGTTGCTCAATCCTCCGTTTGTTTCCACGCGAATCGCATAGAGTGTTAGTATGTGTACACCACTTGTGAGCCATGCAAGGTTGGTCGCTGTCTGGAAATGATAGACCGATATCTCTGCTTTGTGTAGCTGGACAATCGTTGTACACAAGACGGCCATGCCGGTGACAAGCTGTGTATCAGCGAGGGTTATCACAAATGAGTAGAGACCGCGCTTCAGGTGGTTAATATGCGCTCTGATCCACCTTGATCTGACCAGAAATTTGACAAAGGGATCCGAAATATTTCTTCGTACCCACTCATCAATTGGATTGACAGATTCTACAAAGCCAAAACGAGGTGGTGGCCCCAAACTTGGAGCCTCAATGATATTCAACCCAGATCTCGCAATGGCAAGATACAGGCTTATACTGAGGATTGCCAAACATGAGGCCGTAATGAAAGCGGTGACGACCTTTTATCGTCAGCTCGATTGGGCTCCAGCGTCGTCAGCACTTACACCAATTCCGGCGATGTCTGGATCAGGATCAAACTTAGTCGCGCATTTCTCCCAGGAAGAGTTCATTGTCATGGAAAAACACGAATGGCAAATGATAGGAAGAAGAGAAGGGAGGAGAAAGAATGATGCCTTATATCTAGGGGCAAGAAGGTTTCTCGTATGGCTTTTCTCATACGATGAATAAGCCCCAATATGTACGTCACCAGATAGGTAGCAAAAATGTTTTAGACAACTAGCCAAGCTGACAAAAACAAGTGGTGAGATAAATCACTCAAAAGTGACTCTAATATTTTTGTCATGTGTAATCTATTGTAGCTTACCTAATTACCCCGAAACACGCTAGGCCAGCCACGATCATGGTTTGATAAGGATTTGCATCCTTCCGCAAGCGATTACAAAATTGGTTCAGAGTATTATATAGCGGATTGGCAATTGGCCATAACTTTTATAAGACTACCAAGTTAAGACATCGAATTATTTGCTATGAGACAAACTAATTTACTCCTGTGGCCTAAAATAAGTCGCAGTGTCTTGAGAAACATAAAGCGGCCACAAGACTGGAACTCGCAGGCCGCTAAGCGTCACCACCAACGCTTACTCTAGCTAGACTATAGGACCGAAAGCGGCTTAATACGGACTTATTCTATTTCGATGCCTGAAGTTTAATGTTGCGAGTCATGATAATAGACCCATTCTTCGAAGTTTGCCTTGTCACATAAGTCCATGTAAAAACTAATAGAGAATAAGTAGACTGAAATTTAAATCAGCCTGGCGAACTGATTTCCCTTACTTTAGGTAAGCAACATATCCAGGAGAAGAAAAACAACAACCCTATCAACGGCTGCGATAGCCCGTAACAAGATAAACCGTCTCTTAGTTTCCAGCCGCCTTGGTCATGGTGACAAAAGCGGAAGATGCAATCTCAGTAGCAGGATCCTCCTCAGAGACCATTCGCCAGTTGCAGGGAATCTCCCTCCAAGTCGTCTTGTAGCACGTGGCAGCGCACCCATAAGCGCTCTCCGAGTCTTGCACCATGCAGCGCTTACCCTGGCCAGAGAACCTGAAATGAGCACGTCTGTTGTCCCAGTCTACGCAGAACTCAACCATCGCTGGAACAGAAGTACCCCTGCAGCCCGTATCGGCATTGACCTTATAAGTACCATAGTCAGTGTAGAACCATGCGTCGTCGCTCCTGCATGTCCAGCCGGCACAGGTGGTGAAGACTTCCATGCGGTCTGCGGATGCGGTTAGGGCCAGGGAGGCGAGGACAGCGGTGATATCGAGACGCATGTTGATGATGAGCTTGATGGAGCAGCTAGTAGGGTGATCTGTAATATGTAAATTAGAGTTGAGTTGGTAGCGGGCCGAAGAATCGCGATACTTACGCTGATCTTGAATCGGCTTAGAACAGGGAGCAATGGAAGTTGAGATGAAGGAGATGATAGTGTATCATTCGAGTTCGAGGCGAGATGTCAATGAATACTTATACTTAGAGAACTCCATAGCTTTCCCTTTTCCTCGTTCGCAAGATTGACAATAAATACTGGCCCCATAGTAAGCACGTCCAGAGACGGTCATTTTAGGAGGAGTATACAGCGGTGTCACCGACCGTGGTCTCCATAGACTAGTCTCGGCCGAGACCTGGCATGACATTGTTACAGTTATTACTTTGTATACTACCATAGAGTAGCAATATGCTTGACTTCGTAGTATCAAACGATTTAACGAGTGCCGTGAGGTTACATCGAGACCCTGCCTCTTTTCTGAATAAGAAAGCATGGTAAGCTGAAAAACTACCTACCGAAAACAGAATGCGGCCCGAGAATACTATATCCACTCGTGGTAACATTTTTAACCAAATCTGTATTTATCCCTCTACTCAATGTTCTCTAGACTTGACCCTGCATCGTTAGGATGATAAGCATTTACTGTCTTTAGTCTGTACTCCGTACGCCAAGCTCATTGGGCCCCTGTCACGTATATATGTGGACTAATCCAGCCTTGTCCGAAAATCCTGACAGGTCAAGGGTTCGGTTACAAGCTGTGGTCTCATTGGTCGCATCGCCGAATTGATTCGAGAGCTCCATATGAAGGTTTAGGCTAATCTGCTGATGAAAACATGAAAGCAGAGAATGTAAGGATTTGCGTACCATCTACAGAGCACTAAGAGACTACTCTTGGTGCATAGCTAGATCTTTTCTTGTTCAAATATACGCGTATACCTCATATTAGAAACTCTGTAATAAGAGCCTTGTTACATTATAACGCTTTGTTCGGCTTTGTCCAGAGATCGTATTCCGTTCCGATCTGCCCGTACAAATGTTCACCTGAGTTGTCCACGGACAGCGACCAGAACCTGAACATAGGAACAGAAGTACGATGCCTGCGGAGAATACGGCATCTAGCCCGAGGTTATAAAATGATGTCTTCACGCCCCCTCATCGTCACTATCTTTCCTCAAGGCGAATTCCTTTTCCGAAAACTTTTCATCCACCAAGTAAGTTATATGCTCTTTGCTAACATCACATCTCACACAGAAACTCGCGATGTTTTCCGCTTTCAAAACTAGTTATATCCCTGAGGTGACATCACTTATCAAGAAGCACGGGATCTACTATGCGCTCTATATCAAGAATCTCGGATTTTTTGTCAACACCAATCTGGAAGATGTTGGCGACGACGGCTACATTGCCATGAGCACCGGCGTACGCAAGATCGTGTCTGGGTTGAAAGACCTTATTGGGCTCACATCATCCGAGTGGTGCATCCTGGCCTTTTGGGGCCTCCAACTAAGAAGTAAAGCAGCAGACTTTCTCGCAAAGCACGCCCATAAGATCTTTGAGGCACGGGGACGTACAGGGCCACACTCCAAGTATAACCTGGATTATATTTCTTGGACTGTCTAGGTAATAATGCGCGAGAAAAATACTACGAAGACAATGATGGCTGAGCTCTGCACGAAACACGGAGATCTCTTCGATGTGGAATTTGAGATGCGTACTGAGGAAGGCATGAAACGTCTCTTTATTGGAAACGTGGAGTCTCCATGAGATTACACAGCAGGGGGAGATAGGCCGCCAGCTCGTGCGAATGTGGCCGATCCCCTCTTTATCCAGGATGAAGACATGGACAAAATGACGGACTCAGGAATGGTCAGCACGTTGGCTGAAGTAGACACGGCTATCTCTCGAATCACCGAGTGGAAAGAAAGGCTTCAAGTTAAGAAAGATCGTCTTGACTATGATTCAAACACCCTATTTTCCAAGCAGCACTTTGCTAAGGGCTGACTTAAGTCATTGAAGGAGAAGCGTGGGCTTTTGAAGAGCCTGAAACGATAGATGAGACAGTTTGGGGGCCGTGGTGGGGGGGGGGGGGGGGGGGTCAAAAAGCGGTAAGCCGAGTTTTTGGCGTGGGATTTCGGTCTGGCGGAATTAGAGAACAATTCTTAGATTGTCTCATTATCATCGAGGCTGTGAGAAGCCTTCACACTGAGTTGGTAGGACAATGGTACAGTGGGATAGCACAGCGAGTCTTGTGGGTTTGTACTAAAGCTCAGATAGCTAAATACACTTTCTAAGAGGAACAAATACGGTAAAGCGGTGGATCGGTTGGCAAAAGACGAATGTGCATGTAAACTATACTACTGTGATGTAGGCGTTCACACAACTAGCTCGTCCCGATTCCTCTTATAATCCTTCGTGAAATCATATTCGATACTGGACACTTTCTGTAGATACGTCAATATCACTGACTTTGCCATGTTATTACGGTGATCTAAGAGACTTACCAACAGAAACGCTCTCATGCTATCTTCATCCTTTTGAAGATCCTTCAAGATACCAAAGAACTTGTCCGTATCCAAGACAGTTTGAGGATCGGATGTCGCCACACGATTGAGATTCTTGATCGATCTGGGATCAACGTATCGGACAAAGATATCCCGTCGGACCTCTGCATACTTATCGAGGATATCCTCGTCCGCTAGTCCGTGGTAGTACCCGATGAAGCAATCGGCTAGACCACCGACATCCAAGACGGCAGTCATGCAGCCATACCCTCCCATAGGGTTGCAGACATGCGCTGCATCACCGGCTAGGATCACGCGACCAATCTTGAAGCTCTCAGCACAACGGTTATGTATGTTGTATAGATTTGTTTGCTCGATCCGGTACTCGCCCGGGTCGGGATGTCCTGGGAGCATTGCTTTCATGTGTGCAGGTCGACGGGCTAGATACTCTTCATCCGTTAGGCCCGTGACTGGGTCTCCGTAGGTGACTCGCCATAGACCACCTTTTCCCCTTCGGGCAATCAGGCCCCAGTGATCATTGTCAACCATGTAATTTCCGCCATCCCAATTATGCTTTTGGAAGCCATCGTAGTAGACCTGCTGCTCATGAGTATTCAGCGGAAAACTATCAGTGTGAAGAACGAACGTTTTGAACAACAAATCGGTACGGTAGTGTCTGGCCGGGCCATTGTCTACCGAAAAGCGAGCGCCGCACGGCACTGGATGCTCCATCGCACCCAACGACGTAGTCGGCAGTAAGTCTCGCTTTCTCTGTCTTGTTTTGGCCTTTGATGTTGACATCAACATAGGCCGACTTTTCGTCCTGACCGACATTGGTAACCTCATGATTGAACCTGATGTCGATCAATCCCCCTCCTCTCTCAAGGCAATGTCGGTACAGGATTTGAATGATCTCGCCAAGGGGTAAGATCGTCATTCGATCGGGATCATCCTCAACAAGGGATAGGTTCAGACTAATGAGCTTCTCGTGATCTGAGACACGTCTCCAACATATGCTAGGGAATTTCGCGATGCTGGCCTTGCGAATATCTTCAAGAATGCCTGCGCGTCGGAAGACGCGGGTAGCGGGGACTCCATACTGCGTTGCTCGTAGACGCGTGTCAAGATGCGGCCATGACTCTAGAACGACAGAGGGGATGTTTTTCTGGGCAAGAAGAAGAGCTAAAAGCAGCCCTGAGGGGCCTGCACCGACAATAATGATCTGTACGATGTGATATCAGCAAAGTTTTGGAGGACACGTAGGTAATAACATGCCTTGTCAAAAGGTCGACCTGAAGAAAATGAGTCCATGATATTAAGAACTCTGGTTGTCTCCGGCGGGACTGTGAAGCTTGTATTAGTTATGGACTTTGGTTTTTAATTATGATTCATCGCAGTCAGTCAAGAGAGTGATCAAGAAGTTATATGTACTTCGTCTCGGGCCCTGACTAAGCTCCGCAACAACCTTGTCGGCGATCCCCGCCCCCAGCGCGGGGTTACAGCGCCGAATCTCACATCGTCGGCATCTGTAAGCGGTATTAACAAGGGAACAGCCCGCTAACTTGAAATGGATAACGCAGAATGGGCCTTCGTAACACAGCGACAACAATAAGTATGCACGCAACACCAGCGCTGCAAATGCCCAACCCAGATATAACTAGTTTTACTTTTCATTCTTTACTTAAGAAAAATGACAATAAAGTGATCATGCCATTCGCTACTATCGAAAAGCTCTATATCGAAGAGAATGTTGTTATCCACGACCTTGGGGAGCGCAATGTAGTCAGGTTGTATGTTTTTGCTGCAGGCCATTTAGTGAAAAAATTTAAGAAGGAAAGAAATATATATGAGCTAACTTAGCCAGTTTAACTTCAGTGCCCATTTGTTTGTCGGAAGTCGTGGTAGAGGAGCATGCGGGTATTCGGGTAACCGTTTCGGAGGCCGGGTATCCGCAGTCCTGAAAGCCGGCTGTGATGTCCAGGGGAAACCGTGAGGATAATGAATGATTACTCGGGGAATACTTCTTACGTATTGAGAGGCAGGTTACAATCTGTTTATATAAAGATGCTAGAGAGGCTACCATAATAAGAATATTAACATAAGTAACTTTACAGCTAGACCCAGACCAAATCTTCTTCTTAGGATTACATCCCAGCATCAAGTATACATTCAATATGCCAAGCAGAATTGTAATTATAGGTACTGGCTTTGCTGGAGTATGGAGCGCCTTCTCGGCTCAACGTTTCATCAACATCAAGAACAAAGAGCAAGACATTCAAGTTCTCGTCATTTCCCCCGAACCATCGCTCACTCTCCGCCCACGTCTATACGAGCCTAATCCCTCGACTATGAAGCAACCCCTCGGACCTCTTTTCACATCTGCCGGTATAGGGTTCTTGCAAGGCACCGTCGAGACAATTGATACAAATTCGCAGACTGTCCATGTCAAGTCTCCATCTGCCGATGAATCTGATATTCCTTACGATCGGCTTGTACTTGCAGCCGGAAGCGCAGTTGTCCGGCCCAAGACCGTCAGTGGCCTCGAGGAGCATGCCTTTGACATTGATTCAATCGCTGCTGCGACCAAGCTTGAATCTCATATCAAGGATCTAGCATCCCTTCCCGTCAGCAAAGCTCGCAACACCGTGGTTGTGTGCGGTGGTGGCTTCACTGGCGTGGAGATTGCGACAGAGCTGCCAAATATGCTGAAGCACATTGAGAACCCCCGCATGGTTCTCGTTGAGAGTGCTCCGCTTGTTGGTCCCGAGCTCGGGAAAGGTCCCCGTCCTACCATTATGAAAGCCCTTGAAAGTCTTGGTGTTGAACTCAAGCTCGGTGCTTCTATTACTTCACTTGACTCAAGCGGAGTAAATCTTTCGTCTGGAGAGCGGATTGAATCGATGACTGTGATTTGGACCGCTGGCGTACGAGCGACGTCCCTGACTCAGCAAATTCCTGGGAAGAAGGATACACTCTCCCGACTTCACGTCGACCAAGATCTCCGCGTCCCTGGCTGTCCTCACGTCTTTGCCACTGGCGACGCCGCCCATGCCGTCACTGATAAAAAAGGCAATGTCACCATGCCATCCTGCCAACATGCCGTCGTCCTGGGCCGTTTCTCCGGACACAACGCAGCAGCAGACCTCCTCGGCGAACCAACCCTGCCGTATTCTCAGCCTGGATACGGCACATGTCTCGACCTTGGCTCATGGGGTGCGTTGCTAGCTAATGGTTGGGACAGGGATGTTACAGTGACCGGGCAGATCGCAAAGCAGGTGAAGAGATACGTCAACCAGAGAGTGATCATCCTTCCGGATACCGCGGGGGAGGCACTGGATGCTGCAGATCCTGCTTCTTATGACTCTGAAAGCCGGCTTAAGCATGTTCTCGGTGTATTGGGATGGACGTTGCGCAACTGTGTCGGTAGCAACAAAAAAAGACTTGCCTAGGAGAGGGGAAGCGTGAGATCTAAGGATCAGCTGTCGGTTCTAGCAACTTAAAATAACACTTGCATCTTGTCATAGCTAAGGATAATTATTTCGTGATTTTCTATATCATTTGTGAAGATTCTGTAGAGTACTCTATGGTTGATTGTAAGCAACAGACTGTGCTCTACTCTGCCATATTAGAGTTCTCAGCTCACTGGATATTATCCTTTAGATGTTGTAGTGTTTCCTAACAAACAGAGCGCCGCAGTTATTCATGCTCTAGGTAAACAGCTGGAATGGAATGGTAGATAGCAGCTTGCTTATAGATTATATTTTATTATATATTTAGATAGCCAAACGTAATTTATTATTTAGAACTATTGAATGTTGTATTTCTTAGCCTTTCCATAGCCTAAATGTCGACCTCGATAATAATAAGCAAGAAGTAAATCATAGCTGCTCTCAATGTCTAGTAGTACGCAAGGCACACTGCTTTGGATCGCTAGTCGGGAGCTTTCAGCTTCCTTGTGGAGTCGTTTTGCTTCTGCCTCGCAGCCATCGACTTGATAAAGGGCGTCCGCGAGCCGCCGTTTCACGCGCGCTATTTCTCCGTCGTTTCCCTGCTCTTTCTTATTAGCATATGCGAGTTCCAGGGCATCCCTGAGCTCGTTTCTATGGTCCACCGTGTCAGCTTATCTTGATGTTTGAGCCGGTCGACTTACATGGCTTTGTCTACTTCGCCGAGCTCCAAGGAAATTGAACCAAGTTTGTATAAAATGGCATTTGTTGTCATGCTGTCAGGATTTTCACTTTTGTTGACTTCATAGGCCCTTGTGTAGAGCTCGCGGGCCTTCTCCAGTTCTCCGTCGTGGTAATGTTTGTGGCCAAGAATCCAATCGACGCTTGTATAAGGGTCAGGTTAGTTGGACAAGCCATGGTGCCGCTCGGCCTTGGGTGACTTTGACAAGTGTCAACTTACTCAGCGTCATAGAACGTGTCTTTTCCGAATTCATCAATAGCAAGCTTTCTACTTATATCCAAATACTTTTGCATTTGGCCATAGTCACCTTTCATCATGTATGCTTCTGCGATGTTTGAGTATCGAATATTCAGAATCTTTTTGGCCTCCGCTTCGGGCTGCAATTTGTCAATGCGGATGGCTTCTTGATAAGCCTTGATGGCTTCATCGTACTGGCATTCTGATAGATAAGTGTTGCCAATGTTGTTGTGACAGTTTGCGATCTCTTCGTGATCTTCCTCAAGCAAAGCTTTTCGAATCTCCAGGCATTCTCGATGAAAAAGGTAGCCATCTTCGATTCGATTTTGTCTCGTGGCAATTATACCGGCAGTATTGAGCAGACTGGCATACAACAGTGACTTCTTTTCTGTACATAGCTTGAAAGCAACGTCAAGAGTCTCTAGACAGTCGGCAAAGTCAGAGGTTTCTCTCAAATACCTAAATGTTGGTAATTAGAATTACACCGTATTTCATACTGAGTTCGAATGGCTGCAAGCAACTCACCATGCGCAACTTGCCAGGCACTGCACAATTTCATCAACGTTTGAACCAGGTTCTGGCTTGTAAAGATCGGAGCGATAGTGCTTGCACAGAGCTGAAATATGACCAGCATATTTCGCACACTCTGCCCACTCCTTGCGGAAAGAAAGGCCATTGACAAGTTTTGGAAATTTATGAAACAGGAGCTTACCAGCCGCGAGAAAGTTGGCTTGCAGTTCATCACTGGAAAGTGTATTGTTGAACTCGACTTGGATAACTCGGTGGACAAAGAACAGTACATTTTCATCCTGCTCATTGACTCTGACCAGGGTTTGATTGATCAAGGCCTCAATAGCCTGTTCGAAACTAGCGGAAACACGTTAACAATGCCTTTACACCCAGCAAGGTTCTAGGTTCAATGAGGGAAATTAGTAGCAACGGTGGCGCAACTTACTCCCATTCTTCTTGGCAGAATTTCAGAGATAAGGGGAGGTTCTCGCTATCCTGACTTTGAAAAAGTGCACTTGGTAGAGCTTCTGCTCCCAAAGTACATGCGATTCTGAACATTTCGTATCCCTCTTGGCTTTCGTCTCGCAAACGAACAAAAGAGGTCTTGAAGCAGTCATGTAGGCTATGTAGGTAATAAGGCTGAAGAGATGCCTTTGCAGATACCTTCTTGTGAATCTTGGCAGTGTGTCCCTCGTACCAAGGCAAGAAGTTGGTAAGTGATTTCTTCGAGCTGCGGATATTCATGGCCATGAAAGCGAGTGCCAAAGGCATACCACCAAGATCTTCAGCAAGCTTTTTAGCTGCCTTTCTGTCCGTTTTAGAGTATGAGTCTTTTGCCAGAATGGCTAGTAGAAGCTCCAAACTTTCGTCCTCATCGAGGTTAGGAACCTCAATGCAATGGACCATATCAACTGCCACGATTTCTGCGCGAGCAGTGACAAGAAGGGATGAGTGTGGGCTCAGCGGCCAGCACTGCTTGCGTATGCCATCGAAGTCTTCCACATTGTCAAAAATGATGAGAAAATCCTGATCTGAGCCGCTGGTTAGAGTTGTATGAGAACTGTTGGGGAGCATAAGAGACTGACCTGAATTTTGCAAATAGTCTAAAACCAGTCGTTTGTGGTGTGCCTGCCTACTACCCTCTTCAACTGCAGCAAGCCTCAGCTCAAGAGCAATGGCTGAAAAGCTTCTGTCAATCTCAACTTGACTCTCGCTGTTGATCCACAAGATAAAATTGACCTGATCCTTTCGGCTGTAAGCGTATTCAAGGGCTAGCTGAGTTTTACCGATGCCTCCAGGACCGCATATACAAACTGCTCGATGACGCACATCGTTAGAATTGTGATCAAGTGCAGAATGTAAAGATGAAGATTGCTTCTTCCTTCCAAAGAAATCTTTGATTTTAGGGTTCGGAAGATAGTGACACTTCTGTCGAGGAGAAATTGTCGTCTCCTGAGTGGAGACATCTTGGTTACTGTTGCTGCTGTTGTGAGGCAGGGTTGGAAGAGATAGATGAGAGTCGACTATATCTTTGAGGCGCTTGATCTGCCCCGTGATTCCTTTTGAGCACTTTAAGATACGAGAACGAAATTCTGCATCCCATCTTTCCAGAGCTATATCCACTAGGAGATACAATCAAATTCTATATCTTGTCAAAGTCATAGGGAGAATAAAAAAACATACCTGAGGCTTGGTTGCCTTTAACAAAATGGACTAAATCGACATAAAATGCCATATAGTATGCTGCCACTTCGACAAAGGCAGCTTGGACACGTTGTATCTCTGAACTTGTAGAAGAGATGGAGCCAATGCAAGATTTGACATCAAAGACATGTCCATTCAGCTCATCTAGCTGGCTTTGGACAGGGGCCCTTCTTCTAAATTCCACGAAATCATAAAATAGCAAAGTCTTAGAAATAGTCAGTCGCCATCTTATCCTATAAGATTTCAAGAACCTTGAACTTGACTGACCTTGCAGAAGAAGTAGAGAATTTTCGCGCATAGGTCTAGATCTTCTCCATCTGAGATATCTGCTAGACAGTCGACTCTAGTGAGGTTAAGCAAGCCATTTATATAAGGCTGCCAGTCAGCAGCGATATCGTGATTTGACTGTTGGGAGTTTTTAGGACCAGTTTGCAGCCCAGAAGTCTCATGATCAGGTAGGATGGTGTCAGCGAGCTCACGGAAACGAGTCCCGAGCTGCTTTGATGCGTGTTCCTTGCTCTCAGTCCAATGGCGGAGAGCAACATCAAGACTGGAAAGTCCAAAGACATTTATTAACAACATGCAAGTAAAATGGATGAAGAGAGGTTCTCACATGTCCTCAGACTTTCCTGTTATGTGTGAAGGGGCAATAGTGCTGCCGTGAAGAGATGGCACTCTCCCCTGGCGGGGAGCCCCTCCTTGATTCTGGGAAGATATGGACGTTGGTAAATTCATGTTGGACGTGATAATACTAAGATAAGAACAGTGGATTTTGATGTAACTGTGGATCTGATAACGTAGAAGTGGCAAGTCTGGGACTTAGCCCTCATTTGTGTGAAAAGGAGAAAGAATGAGGACAGAGATGGACTTTTTCGAACTTCGCAGCCGACTCCTACGGCAATTTTCTATGGAAGTATACATGTTAATAATCCAACGGCACCACGAAGACAGACAGGCCAATAAAATTGCTAGTGTCAGGCTCTTGGGCTCCGCCCTGCAAGTACCTTGAACAAGCAGAGACATGTCACAAATTCAGGCCTTTTGCATTTCAGAACGCCACTCAGCAAAAGTGGCCGCACTTGTCAGGGGGGTATGAAGGTCGGGCGTCAAGAGGATCATCTCTCGTACTGAAACGGGCTGGCTGCATGTGTGTGTCCAAAAGGCAACATTCGATACGTACATACTTGGCGTTTAGGCTGTCAGTCCTTTCATAGCTGAGACACATGCTAGTCACTGTCGGGCAAACAAGATACGTGCGGGGTGGTCTCTTGCGTTGAAATATCGGATACTTGTTCCTCTTGTCATTGCCATTCACTGTCACCTGCTATCTACAACTTGTTTTCACTATGGTATATTCCGTCACGGCTGAACTTTCGTTTCTCAAAGATCACCCTCTCTACGAGGTGGAGAAGCCGTACCAGATCATCTCTGGTCTGGCAGCTTCCACTTGGCAGACAAACTGCGTCTTTGAATCTGTTCCCGGAATAAGAATCATAAATTGCCGAGATCATATGAGCGACTTCACAATCGAGGCAAACGGATTCGAGTTCTTTAAATCGCCAAGTACTCACCTATTGGACCACGGCTTTGTAGGAAGCCAAGAGAAAAATATTCGAGACGAGGCAATTGAATGCTACTTGCGCTCTACCATCGCTCAGGCCCGCAAGAGATTCAATGCCACTGAGATCTTTTGTTTTGATTGGCGGGTAAATTTATTTCCCCCGCACGATGCCGGGCAGTTTTATTAACACAATTGATTCAAGGTCAGATCTCGAGGAGCTAAAGAGCTACAGTCGGAGTCTGACGAGCAAGACATCCGACATCATCTTCTCGATGTAGCTCATGTAGTACACCTAGGTCAGTAAGACTGCAGCCAAATTTTGCCTACGAAGTTTAACTCGATTACCGGCTTGTGTCAGACTTTTCTCTAGATGGCGGTAAAACAGCTTTGACGAGGAATTTGCGACGAGACGAGCTTACCCGATATAGCACGAATGAATATCGTGTGCGAATAATCAAGTTAGTTCCATGCCTTGCTTCTGTTTATTTTTCGACGCCCAAGCAACTAGCTCTAACAACTCACACCAGCATCTGGCGTCCCATCAATGATGTCGTATATGATTGTCCATTAGCTTTCTGTGACCCGCGGACGATCGACCCTCGAGACCTTCGTGATGTGGACAAGGTTCACCAAGATCATGTGGAAGAGAGTGCGTATTTGACGCACGCAGAATCACAGCAGTGGTACTATCTACATGAACAGTCTAAGCATGAGGCTGCCGTATTTTTAACGTGGGATAGCGACTCTGGTGGAAAGCTCGGTATGCGTGAATCGCTGCGTCAATATCGGCCACACTGACATTTTACATAGTGACGCCGCCTCACGCCGCGTTTCTGAGTAAACCTGAAGGGCCTGCGAGAGTAAGTGTTGAGGTGCGACTGATTGTTGTGACGAGCAAACAACATGAACAATAAATTACATGGAGCTGCACAGGTGTTCGACGCTGTCAGGGCGACGGCTGCGTCACGAAATTGATGGTCTACGCATTCATTCAAAATTTGTGAAATATCATGTTTTTCAATGTAATTGAGCTATCAAAATGACCGTTGTTGAGTATTCTGGTACACGTCCAAAAACTTAGACCGGTTTCCATGTTCCAATAGCGGCAGAGAGGTAGCCAAGCGCAATGCAGCCGACCTGGAGGTGATAATAGGGTTAGCAGTAGAACAGTTGAGGAACAGCGAGAACCCACCAAGTCTAACCGCCAAGGTCCTTGTCGTCACGCTGGGGCAGAAGACGGATCTCCGACTTGTCAGCGTTTGGGTCGTGCTGCTCCACGTTGGTTTCAGTGACTTGGAAGAATTTCTTCCATGGCTGTATTTTCCCTGGCTGTTTCTCAGAGTTGTTGGTGGGAGTCGGTTCCATGATAGTGAATAGTTTGAGCTTCGGATGAGATTGGATTGGCAAAGATGTTGAGGGAGGAGATGCAGCCGCATAGAAATAGCTGAAGGACAGACCCTTGGATAATCAAGTAATTGAGCGATACAGGAAATGCTTTGGACCCTAGGCCAATGATGTCGCGTTAGAGAGTTAATGGTATCTTGTCCAATAGCGGCAATCGATAGAGGTATGATGAATTTTCATTACGTGAAAGAGTGGTCAGCAGTGCAACGATTGTCGAGTCATGAGATTCATATTTCTTATCTTGAAAACGCCAATTGCATCATGGATATGGAAAGTGCAATACGTTGGTGCAGGGTTTCCGTACGTACAGTTTCAGGGAAGAGCCGCATCTGCGCATCTAAGGTGGCGGGAAAAGAGGGAACAAGGCTCGGCAACCAAGGCGGGATTGAAGCGTCGAAAAGCCACTTCTCGGTCTGCAGGGATATTATGCATGTATGTATGCCGGCTTAGACTGGGCCAGTCGCACTGTGAGGAGAGGCAGTCTGCGGCTGAACCCGTCGTACCGTTGAGCAAACAGGGCTGTTTGTTGAGCCGCATGTCTTGGCTTTTTCAGGGTTTTTTAGATCCCCACGCGCTATTCTGTACTTGTGCCTGACTACATTAACTAACCTTCCTAGCTACACAGCACTCTATGAGCCATCGGGCACTCCTCATCTCCACTGGCCCACCACCATACAATGATGATGAAAATTGCATACCGGATTTCGCTTGTCTTTATCGTTTCTATCTCTCTCCTGATTATGAGATTTGTCCCAATGACTTCTTTTTGGTCCAGCTTCTTTTCTCGCGGTGGCATCACGGCTTCTGGTCAGCTGCCCGCCCTCACGACCGCGACAATTGACGACATCGCGCTCGCCCTTGACAAAAATCATTTCACATCAGTCGACCTTGTACGCGCCTATATTTCCCGTGTCGAAGAAGTTAACCACCTTGTAAACGCTGTTCTAGAGATCAACCCTGATGCCATATCTACCGCTGCCGAACTCGACCAAGAACGCAGAACCCAGGGTAGACGAGGGTAAGTCAGAGGCTGACCAACGTCTTCCTCCATTAGTCGCGCCTTTCTCTTACTTTTAAGCTGCAGTCCTCTACATGGAGTCCCCATTCTTCTCAAAGACAATATCTTCACGCTCGACCGCACCGCAACATCCGCTGGCTCCTTTGCCTTGCTAGGCTGCAAAGCTCCCCGCGAGGGCACTGTTGTTGAGCGACTCCGCAACGCCGGGGCCATTATCCTTGGCAAGACAAACTTGTCAGAATGGGCCAACTTCCGTTCCACAAACGCTACCAATGGTTGGAGTGCGCGAGGAGGTCAGACCTATGGTGCCTTTGCCGACTCTCAGGCTACAGAAGGCAGTAGTAGCGGCTCAGCTGTGTCTATGATTCTGGGTCTTGCAACGGTTTCTTTAGGCACCGAGGTATACTATCTATGCTGCAACCCTTCACTCAGCTTGCATTGGTATCTGTTCTGATGGGCACTAGACAGATGGCAGCATTGTCGGGCCTGCGAAAAAGAGTAGCATTGTCGGACTACGAACAACCACTGGCCTCGTGCCACGCGATGGCGTTATTCCTCTTTCAGATCGGCAGGACACAGTCGGCCCTATGACACGTACGGTCAAAGATGGAGCATACTTGCTATCAGTAATTGCCGGACGCAGTCAATACGACAATGCCACTTCTTCCATTCCTTTTGACGACATCCCCGATTACATCGAGGCATGTCAAGGAAGGGACCTCACAGGCGTTCGTCTGGGAGTCCCTCGGAACTCTATTCCCGAGCACCCACCTGGAGTCGATGCAGACTTCAACAAGGCTCTCGAGAAGCTGCGTGACGCCGGCGCGGTGATCATTGACAACGTCAAATTTAGATCCGAGAAAGAATGGGATGAGTGGGACAATCAAGACCGCAAACGGGCACTTGAGGCGGAATTCAAGTCCTCTATTGCACGGTGGTGCGGCGAGCTCATAGTCAACCCAAATGGCATCAACTGTGTGGACGATATCATCGAATTCACCAAGTCACATCCCAAAGAGCTCTATCCGGAGCGCAATATCGACAGACTTCTGTCTTCACGAGACTCCCCGGGCATCGACGATCCAATAACACAACAATCCCTGACAAAAATGCTTAGGCTCTGTGCTGATGATGGTATCCTTGGTGCTTTGGCCGACTATAAGCTCGATGCCCTCGTTTTCCCCAATGACTACAATCGGCCTTCAACATTTGCTGCACGCGCAGGCATGCCTGTTATGGCACTACCTTTGGGCTTCTTCCCTCCCCAAACACCGATCAAGAAAACAAAAACAGGCGGTCAAGTTGATGTTGCTCCCAATGTGCCGTAAGAGACCCCAGACTTTTAAATCTGTCTGTGCGGAGGAATCACTAACATGTCCAAGATATGGCATCGCCTTTGTAGCTGAACCTTACTCCGAAACGCGCCTATTCCATATTGCCCATGTATTCGAGCAGGCTTGGGCTCTAGAGAGCCCAGGCAAACTGCATATCGTACCCAAGACTGAGATCGGAGACGTACTACAAAATGGGCGGCTAGCTGCACTGTGATTCGCTCGCCTGTGGGAGCGGTAGCCCGGCGAATACAGAAGTCTTGTGGTTTCTATGCTTCAAGGACCCCATGCTTATAGTTTCCATATCAAATCAATCTGTAGAATATCCATCCGTGCCGTTATTGTTTTGTGCAATGTGAAATCATTGGTGTTGGACATGGCATGCTTGAGATTCCAACGCATACTGGGTTTGGGGTCTCTCCCTCGCATCATAAATGGTGCCTACCCACCTATGTTCAGCAGTGGGGGTATAAATATTTCAGGCAGACTTTCAACAGCCTAGCTCGCTCCACTTGCACCATTGCAAAAACCACAAGATTCTCTCCGCAATAACGCAAGGAGCTTCCCCCTCGGACACGTCTCTATAATGACATCTACGACACCGCATGTGCAAGGCGAAGTGGAATTCATACTTGACCTGCCCCTGTATCAGACAGAAAAGCCATACTACGTCGCTGGTCCTCTTGAAAAAGATGATGAGCCCCGCCGAACCAACGCTGTCTTTGAAACAAAGATGGTGGACTTCCAAGATATACGTGGTGCTGAGGAATCCTATACCCTGCAGAAAGATGGCTTCACCTACGTGCGAGACGAGCTGTCTTTGTTCGCTGGCCTCCAGAATGTTAATGAAACCGCTCTCCATCGATATGCCAATGACACGCTGCAGTTGATGAAAGGGATTTTTGGCACTGATAGCTGTTGGGTTTACGCCTACAAGGTACGGCACCATTATGTATCGCTTGGAGGTTCTAAATGTAACTCTGTCTAGTTTCGAAGCAGTGCCGACATCTGTCGGCCCGCCGGCGTGCCAACAGGAGAAGCCTGCCTGCCTGATGAACCAGCAGCCAAGGCGCACATAGGTAGGTAATTATGGTCGTCTCATCACCCGTTCCTTTCTTAGTCTGACAACGCACTTCTGATTGCACCAGACCAGACGCTGGATGGTGGTTTTCGGCGAATTCGTCGACACCTTACCCCGGAAGAACAGGGCAGATTTCTAGACCAGACACCTCCCCAATGGCGCTTTCTTATCGTCAAGTGAGTGTGACTACCCATCCTGCACGCACTGCCACCATTTCCTTGTTCTCTTTGGCTCACACTCAGTCATCGCCAGCACATGGCGACCAGTGAACCACCCAGTTGCCAACTACCCCTTGGCAATTTGTCACCCTGCAACAGTCGATATTGAGCAAGATGGCATCGCGACAGACCGCGTAAGCCCCGAATTCCAAGGTGAAAACTACTATCTTAAATTCCGATCGCGACATAAGTGGTACTGGCTGAGCGGTCAGCAACCCAACGAACTCTTGATCTTTGTCAGCTTCGACTCGGCACAGGACTTGCAGGCTTCATGTAGGCCCCTCTTCTATTGTATTGTTGTGCCCACCGTCTTGACAGTTTTTGATTCAGTTATTCCCCATTGTTCTTTCCGCATTCCCGGGGTGGCATCAGGTGCACCGCCAAGAGAGTCAGTAGAGACAAGGACGATAGTGGCAATTCGCGTGCAATGAAGCAATAGATGAATCTGCATCTGCGCAAGGGTACTCTCTAAGATACATAACAATATATGACCTTGATCTTTCTATCTCATACTGTACACCAGCTGAGCGGCCGACAGGCCTGTCTGTGCTAGGCTCAAAATCACGCCAATAGTCCCAAACACAATGACCGCGCGATACGTGTAAGTGAGATTGAGATCACGGCGATCACTCCAGAGCTTCAGACCCCGGTTCGGGTTGTTGGATCGGGAAAATGTCTGAATGCGGGCCAGCCTACTGGAAAGAATGGGGAAATCGCTTGATGGACTGTAGTTGGGCTTGCTCCACAACCTCTCCGTCGTCAACACAGAGGGCTTCCGTTGGGTGCACAGGCTTCTGAGAATGGGATCTTCTATTCCGGATGCACCCTTGCTTCTGTGAAATTCCTTGTTCTTGAAATACTTGCGCGAGCGTTTATCAGCGCCAAAAAAGATGTGCAACGAGAGCAGTACTTCCCTGAGGAACGCATCGATCATGGCTTTCTCATCAGCTTCAGCGGGGCTCACCAATGGAGCAATCGTTTCATGCAAGCTACGTACTTTTGTCAATCTCAAAAAGAGCTGTGATTGAGTCATTTCGTTAGACTTACGAATAAAGCAGGCTTTTTTCGCCGACGTTGTGCAGGAGACAAAATGAAGGCAAGGCGAACAAAGTAAGTCGACACCGTGATTCGTCGAAGCTCAGGTGAGAAAAGAGACTTGTTGACCACTCTATTGCCACACCTGCATACTCGCAAACTGTAGCCGCGTTGATCAGGCGAGCATCCAGAGACGTTGCTGCCTGATCTGGGCTGTTTTCTGCACGAAGCCTCTTTGGGATGACGAGACCGAGAAACATCATGTTCTCGGCAATTTCGCGCTTGGTGTGTGGGGTACTAGGACCAGCTAGTGGGTGAGTCAGGGTTTGGTGTTGGAAGCACTGAAAGCCGTCTTGAAAAATCGACATTTGGGCGTCAAGTTGAGGGTTGTACAGCATGGTTAGCCAGCCCACGAGTACGAATATGACGTGGTTGGCCGATTGGTAAAGTCTTTGATCATCCGATAGCAGTTGCAGGCGAACTGAATCCGTGTATACGTCATGAAAACTCTGACGTGGCTTCTGCTGAAGGCAACTGACGGCGTCCAAGCCAATCTGCGCAAGTCGACCGAGCACTTTGTCGGGTGCGTCCCCACACTGTGGAAAGAGGCCAGGGTCTGTTTGTTGCTCGCTGAACAGCTGCATCCTTGCACAAAGAAATCTCTGGTAGGTTTCCAAAGCCTCGCTTTTGTTTTGTTTCCGCATATCCGCGGCCGTACCATTGACGACCTCAGAGTGGTGTATGCGAGGAGCAGCAATGTCATTTGACTGGCCGACGGCATCAGCAGCCAGGCTCTCCACTTTTCCCAACGACTCCATAACGCTGTGCAGATGAGTGACGGTGCCGGCAGGTGATGAAAAAGACGAACGTGAAAAGTTGAGAACCTGAAGTTTCATGGAAGCAAGACAGATCGTCTATTTTGAGAGCGACTTCTACACCATTTTAATGCATCCGGTTTTCATCCCTGCCTCGGTATTGTAGTTAACCTTGCTTGAAGTTTTATTTCAGCCAGCCTCGACAATATAGCCGCTTTGATCTAATGAAATTGGCTGGCTGCTGGCTGAGCGCTAATGAATGCCCCAGGAGACGATCTTCAATGGAGGAATGGATATTTCTTTCGATGATTGGATATTCATCTGTTGCCATGGTGGGTAGTCATTCCGTTGTGGCTGAGACAACGCGGGATGGGGCTTTTTCACGTTGTGAGTTATGATCTGACAAACTGATCAACTCGGTGTAATGCCATGTTTGACGTACGGTGCCACACTGCACTGCACTGCACTGTACGTGAGAACAGGGATTCGGCGTGTTTCCTCAATATCTGTGATGCACGCTTACATCCCTAACCCCGCTTTCCCTCACCCCCGGTATCACCTGCAAGTCAGCTGCTGCCACAGCTGTCCACTTTCCAATCAATACCAGCTTCTGTTTCTCTCGAACTTGCGCCGTCCTAATACCTGGCCCAAGGAAACTTGTTCAGCGAAAGTACAGTACTAGACAACCTTCAGGGTAACCAGCGGTATTTTCGGAGACCCTCAGAGCAAACAACCATCTTACCTCCCCAAAACTCCCGTCGGTACGTTCTGAACGATACTAAGATGCCAGAACTCGATCTTCTCACAGCCACCGCTGTCGACATTGCCAAGGCTCTTGAGGCCGGAACTGTCAGCAGCGAAGCTCTCGTTCAGCAATACCTCCATCGGATCCACAAGTACAACGGATATCTACATGCCATCATTGCTACTACTCCTACCGACATCATCTTACCCATGGCCCGCTCTTTGGATGACGAGAGAGCTCAAGGCAGAATTCGTGGGCCATTACATGGTGTCCCCATTATCCTAAAGGTTTGAGTCCCTTTGTTGCGACTAGCTGGCCGACTGGACAGCTAACCTTTTGCTCAGGACAACATTGCCACTGATCCCAAGCTTGGCATGGATACAACATCGGGCACCTATGCTCTAGTTGGATCCAAGGTCAGGGAGTCCGCTCCTCTGGCGAAGCAGGTGAGTCAACAGTGATTCTGGAATGGCCATCTTTGGCTCTTCGTGTTTTACTGACCTTTCAAAGCTCCAAGATGCCGGTGTTCTTATTCTTGGCAAAGGAAACCTCAGTGTAAGATCACAAGTTTTGAGCTATATAGAGAACAATCTAACCGTTTCAAGGAACTAAGCAATTATCGGTAGATTTGAATTCGGTCTGCATAGGCATCATTAGCTGACTTAGAGTTAGTGGCGTTCAAATGCCTTGCGGCTGGTCTGCTATAGGAGGACTCACTCAGTCACCGTTTGTCATCGGTGGTAAGAAATGGGATGATGGATTTGGCGGGCACAGTGTAGGGTCCTCCCATTCTTTTTGATTTGCGTGTTCTTTTGTTAACGAAGCGAAAATAGAGCGCTGGAGGGTCGTCTTCCGGGCCCTGTGTTGCCGTCGCCGCCGGCCTGGCACCTATATCAGTTGGAACTGATACCAACGGATCTATTCTTCTTCCTGCCACTAGGGGAGATGTTTTCGCGATGAAGCCCACTCTTGGGCTCATATCCCAAAAAGGTATTGTTCCGATCTGCCTGGAGTTTGACTCGGCCGGTCCGATAGCGAGATGTGCTCAAGACATCGCTGCCTTGATGGACGTCATGGTTGATAATAGCTTCGACGACAAGAAGCCTCCTGGGGGCTATTCTAGTACGGTAACGGGATCCTTGGAAGGTATTAGACTCGGTGTTCTAAACCCCAAGAACTGGAATTTGCCTTCAGCTGTGGCCACGCCGGTACCAAGCATTCAAAAGCAACAGGTAAAGTGATCCCACGATGAATCAGCATGTTGAGGTATTGATTGATCCAAAGCACGATGAGATCTCCGCTGCGTATCACAGACTAAGATCGACTGGAGCTACTGTCAAGGAGGTTGAGATTGCTTCTCTTGACGGGTTGGAAGTAGGTGGTATAGGCCTGATAGGCCAGGTAATGAGTGAGCGCCCTTGATGGAGACCTCCTGACTCGAATCTACATTTTGACTCTGAGTCCTAACTATGTCTAGACTCTGGGTTTAAACCTGACTTTGAAGGCTACCTCGAGAGTCTCGACTCCAGTCAAGTACGGACATTAGGCCAGGTTATGCAGTTTATGAAGTCCCATGCCAACTTAGAATTCCCTCCAGGTATGCAATCCCACGATATCAATGGCGCATACTCTGCTGACTTGTAAATCAGAGTCTCCCAATATGGGTCGCCTTGAAATGGCAGAAAGCTTTGTTCTATCGCCTGAAGCCAGAGAAGAGGCTATCAGAAAAATGAGGGATTTTGGACGCAATCAGGCTATTGATAAATGCCTCCAAGATAATGAAATTGATATCATTCTTGGTCCAGCAGATAGCGAGATTGACGATTACTACAGCGCCGCTGGTAGGTCCTCTTTTCCGTCCTAATAGACTGCAAAGCTCATAGATCTTGATACTGACTCGTGTGCAGGCTATCCAATGGCTTGCCTTCCTTTGTCCTATTGCGACTACAACATGCGTCCATTTGGAATTTGTGCATTAGCTTCAAAGTATCAAGAAGGTCTACTCATACAACTGATGAGCGCTTGGGATGGGGCTGTGGAAAGAAAGCGAGTGTTGCCTAGATGCCTTGAGGGACCAACACCCGCCCCTTGTACTTGAGATGATTCAGTAATCAGGCACTACTTATCAGAGCCCTTTGCCTACGTAGAGGTTTAAGGAGAAACGTAAAGGGGATCTCTTTTTCGTTTTGATGTCTTGATTGGATGAAAAGACGGGACTTGTCTTTCACATTTCCGCACTTCACTAGCCTTAGAAAGCCAAAATCTTTGTCAAGTTCGTGCTTATCAATCAATACTGAACAACATTTCATCATTCATGTATATTGAATTCAGTTGAGTAATTGCAGCCGTGCCCGCTTTCCATCAACAAGATGGCTGAGCTATAGCTACCCTCAAACCTCTGGTAATTAGGGTGGTCGTGGCGGGTCGGGTACACTTAGAAAGGGTATCATTCAGTGGGTAAATGATATGGGCTGATGGGCCTTGCTGAACTGACTCCACCCTGGTCACATGGATGCTGTACATAAATCTTCCGTCCGGCCCTCCGCTAGACCCCTCCTCTTACTTTTGTTACACACACTTCTTTCAGCCAGGTTGGCATATCCAACGTGTTTTCCAGAATGACTACTGAAATCTATACCTATGCCAGTGTTTCCAACGGGCTAGTTTTTGATCAGCAACATGATCTCTTAGGGTCAGGCACGGTGGGGGAAGTTTTCAGAGCCGAGATTCGTACTGGAAATGCAAGTCTACGCTTGAAGCCTGATCATACGCCGCAAATGCTAACAAGGCTTTTCTTTCAGCGCTCTCAGGTCTTTGCGTTGAAAAGATTCTTGAATAGGCCCCAAAGAGATGATTTTGATAACGAAAAGGCCGTTCTAGATGCCTTAGCATCAACTCGTCACCGACACATCACTTACTATCTATTCGCCTGGACCGCCCTCAATGCTCAATACTTATTATTTCCTCTGGCCACGGGCGACCTGAAAACCTTTTTAAACAAGACCCCCCCACCAGAGTCTCTCCGCGCAGTTGAAAACTGTATCTTCGAGCAGATGCTTGGTGTTTGTGATGCTATCAAGTACACCCATGAGCACATCGTTATTGCCGCCGACGGGCAGCGTGCGAAGAGACTTGGCTTCCACCACGACTTGAAACCAGCTAATATTCTTCTCTTTGAGAATGTATCGGAGCCCCTCGGAACTTGGAAACTTTGCGATTTTGGCTCTGGAACCGTGGACTTCTTTGACACTGAGGCCACAGCAGAGATTTACAACCGCAAGGCATCCACTGGAGACAAGGTGTATAGCGCTCCGGAATATTTGGTAGAAGGACGGGTATCGCGATCAAAGGACATTTGGAGCCTTGGTTGCATATTTCTTGAAGTCTTTGTCTGGGCTCAGTCTCATGAAATAGGCGAGGTGATGCGGTTTCGAGAAGCAAGAAGTATCTCTAATCCTGGCAGTTCCAACAGCGCTGTGTACTGGGCTATTGACGCGCAAAAGAAGCCATATATTAATCCAGCTGTTGCCAGAGTCCTGCAATATCTGCAAAGGCCGTGTTCAGGTGCCGAGGTGTCTCTCTCTATATTACAGGTTATAGGTAATATGCTATGTGTTGAAGCGTCTCATAGACCAACAGCGGAGGATGTATGCAAGTCTTTGCAGAGTTTGAAGGGTAATTGATATTACATAAGAAGTTAGATATTATACTGTCAATTATGATATATACTTTCTTCAGCAATATAACTTAACATATAAGACTTTTCTAGTCACCGCCGCTGAAAATCATGGTGTTGCGGGCTTTGCTGACGGGAAGGGATCACAGACTCATGTTACAAGACCCAGGCTTGGGGAATTGGCGCGTACGTTACCTGCTATCCCTCTACCCTTCTAGTAGCTTAAATAGCTCAACGTATATCCCTGGAGATCGATATCCCTTGCTAGTCTCTGCGCATATGACTGTCGCCATGGCTAAGGTGGTCCAGATCAGATAGGTCATCGCTTGCACACCACTTATCCGAAGTCGTCTGCCCAACCCTATTATCGTCGCAAATCACTTTAACGGTGCAGATAAGATCTCCAATCTCAGCAGTGCACGAGACATAGCCGCGATGACGGCCAGTAATGAGGAAATTGAGAAGATTTACTTTATTGCTGGGCCTGCAAATGCTTTTGTAGCCGAACAGAAGCAGCTTCTATTTGGCGAAACTGCATCGACCCATCCCCTGGCCCAAAAGAAACCCTCTTCAATGCCCGTCAGTCCGATGACTCGCCGACGTATTTAAGGGCAGTGTAGTACAATTCAGTGTTCTTCTCTCGCTCAAATGCTCCTCGGCCTCGATATCGTCGGGATTTCGTTTTGCGCTAGTCGACTCCTGTTTCACATTTGATGAAAAAGATAATGAGTAATTATGGCATTTCTTGAGGCCAACTACCAGATTGGTTCCATCAAATAATTCACAACCATGGTCGGCACTGATGATGTTACTGTATCCCAGTTCAGCTTATTTACTCACGACCTGCTGTTTCATATAAAATATCGGCACTTGGTATAGTTCAACAGATGTAACACATTATGAAAAGAAATTTCAGCCACCATGATCAATTTACCGGTAAAGCTCACCCACTTAATTAGTCTTTTCTATGCAAGAGCAGTCTTGGGTCACATGCTCAATTTCCACTCACAATGCCTTGGTCCATGCTCTCGTCACTTAGTCGATGCTGAGCCCCGTTTCTGAGAGCTGGTACGGACGGACAGCTGCCCAGAAACAAAGCTGTTTATCCTTAAATATTAAGTAAAGAGCTATCGGGTCTTTCATCTAGCCTTTAAGACTATCTACGCGACGTGAAGACTTTCTATAATTGACGGTGACTTAACTTTGCTGCTGTGACTTTTTGCACTGCCCCTAAAGATTTTAAGATTAAGCCAATCATTGTGAACAAGGGACATTTATTTCAACTGCCGAATGCGTAGTCTCAACTTGAGTAGATCGTGTCAGCCGCATGTCCAAAGAATTCAAAGGATGCAGCGCCAACAAAAGGCCCAGCTGTGGGCTGTTATTAATGTAACCATGGCGTGATGCCGTGATAGAGTAGATTTACGACCGCATGTTTCATCAACATGCCCGACCCAATCAATAGTTAAGGTTAATCTAAGCGTAAAACGCGAATACCACTTTTTCCAAGGCTGAGAATAGGCTATGAGCTCGTACCATTAATTGCCAGGGACGGTTGAGGCTGTGCGAATCCTTCAGATCAGCACGGCAATCTTAATGGAATCATCGTTACTGTTGATCGTATCCAAAAAAGCTTATCTGCCCACGCAAAGTGGATCGTTGCTTATCTAAGCGCCACTTATCTAAACGACACTTTAATGGCGAGTGATGCACTTGCTTAATCCTGCAAGGCATATTGAGCATGTACCAGGGCTAATATGATGCTGTAATTTCAGCAATGACGGATGAAAGTAGATATAAAGAGTGCATAGAATCCCGAAAAATAATTATCATTTACTCATTCACTCATTCACTCATTCACTCATTCACTCACTCATTCAATATCTCTTATTCTTAAAATCTCCATCTTTCATTCTGTGCAATGAAGTCTACTGTCACTCTCTTGGCCATCACGGCTGCCGTACACGCCTCTCCTCTTCAAAGGCGACAGGACGAGAATACCCATGTCTGGGATAATGTTGAAACTTTCTGCAATAATCAAGCAGTACTTCTCAGGGATCCCGCGGGCGCTGCCAGCGTTTGGGAAAACACCACCGCTGGCAATGAACTCGACATTTTCATTGCTCAAAGCTGGGGTATGTATCAGCTCGTCTGGTTGAGCCTTGGCATTGGGGCTAACAGCTGCAGAACATGAGGTTAACTGGCTACTGAACCTCGAAGATAACGTCGTTGGGGGCGTTAGTGGAGGCCCAACTGTTGGGGGCTGTGGCACCACCGAAGGCGAGTGCCGTCCTCTCGGTGGCATGAACTGTGAGGACCAGTTCAGCAAGTACGGCACGGACAAGGATGGCAACGAGCACATCCTTGGAAAGACGTCTTACTGGATCTTCCAAGCTGTCGAAGGCATGCAGGCCAAGTTCAGGATGCTGAAAGAGAAACTCACCTCCGAGACCATGGTCGCGGGATTCTCTATTCCCACCATGGTCGAAGAATTCCAAGGCAACGAAGATCAGACGTCTGATGTTCTGAAGTGGCTTGCTGCCGCAATTGGGTTTGGCGGAACCCTGGGGGGAAATGTCCCTGTAGCTGTATGTCGAATGAATTAACGCTGAGTTGTGGACTGAGGACTAACTGAGACAGGGACCTTATATATCGGGCGGCGCTGGCATCTTGGGCGGCATCTTTAGTGCCGTGGCTGACAAGACTGCCCCGGAAGAAATCGACACGTCTACCATCTCCGGTGCCCTGGTGGAGCTATTCGTCGCCTCCGCAAACCAAATCGACGCGACTCTCAAACTTGCCGTCGGCAGCGCCAACAGTGTCGACGATTTCAAAGCTTTGCCCAACCCGAAGCCCAGCGATGACTGGTACAAGTCACCGGTTGCCAAGTTCTTCAGCACAGGATGGTTCCTCCTCAACGAGGACAGCATTGCCGTGGATGATGCCATCAAGTCCATCACCGAGAGCATCAAGCCCAAGATTGCAAACAACGTCATGAAAGCTGCCAATCTCCGCCTTATAGCCGACAAGAGGGTTCACAGTCGAGAGGACTGTGGCTATGCTACCGGCCGCCAGTGGATGGCTCTTCGAGATGGAGAGGAGTACTGCTTCTACATCATGCGCTACAAGCCCTTCGGTGGTAACTGGGGTGAGTCGTGGGATGAAGCTGAAGAGGATGTCTACACAAACATGGCCAAGTATAACCTTGGAAATCGCGATTCGTACTATCGTGCCATCCTCGACTGTGCTCTCAGCGCCGACAAGCAGCTCGTCGTGGATAACCTGGGTTTTAACGGGATTCCTGTTTGCTTCTTCGATCTTGAGGCATTTTTCATCGACCACAATGACTCACCCGCGTGTAACAGCAATCAGATAAACAAGATCTGCCCCCCGGTCAAGGCTACCCCAATTGCATAACTGCATCTCAGATTACTTTATCTTCTTGTATTTAAATATCTATTAATTTTTATCTTCATATGGACCTTTCAATCATAACATACTTTCGATGTAGTTACGGAGCTTTTACGACAAAGCAATCTTCTAGCACTATACAAAAGTATCTGGGGAGTTTTCATCTACGTAAACTCTCCTGGATGAGTCTGAGTTAGATAGGAAGGTTTTCTTGTGCAAACACAGGATAAGCACCTCCATGGGAGCATGTTACTGAAGTTGCAACTAGACATAACGCTGAATGACTAGTGATCTATTGTAACATCTTCATTCTCTCGTCTATTACTGTCTGGTCCATGAAAACTTCCAGTTCCGATATTTTACCCTTATGCCTACCGTCTTCGCATCAGAGGGAAAACACAGACCAGATCCTGGAGCTGACCAGATCTGTTGTTAGATTTAGCATGGCATATCGCTGACTTAAGCTGAATGGAATAGTGGCGCACCAAAGTAATTATGGACATGAGATATTAGATCAAGGCGAGCGAAGCGTGCCGCTACCATTTCCTCGATATTGCTTGCTCCACGAATAGTTGGATAGGTGGAAAAACGCAGCGTTGCCTCCGGACCATAGACTGTCCTTGTTTGTGTAGGATCCAACCCATCTTGACTTAAGGCGAACTATAGCTACTTTGGTTAAAATGAAGATACTTGGTGATAGTGGCAAGAAGTGGTTCAGTACCCCTTTAAGCCATATATCACATTCGTCGTATGAGGTAGGCAAGAACAGTTGGCTGTTGCCATTTGTGGAATTTTCGCCATCCAGGACCGTTGTCATGTCGTTTCCACTGATGAAACCAGCGTTGTAGTGGGTGCCGATTACCTTGACCTCTGGTGTGCGAGCAAAGCTGTTGTCTTTTAAAGGTTGCGGTCGCTAAGCTTGGTTTTGCCTCGGGAGAAGAGTGAAAGTTGTCTTTTACGATCACAGCTCGGTTTTTCGAGATACCCTAGGTACCAGCAGACTGTCCAGGAAACGGAGGCTACCTAAAGTGGTGTTACATGGACAGTCCTCATTTTAGTGACGCTAGCGGAGAGAAGTGGATCAAGCTGGGGCGGGGACTTGGGACTAGTCTTATTAGCGATAGAGATAACGTATTCGTATCCGAGGTTGACAAATCAACTCTGACGTAACGGCATGATGGGAAATGGTACTGTTGTTAATCATGCGTTGTCAACTCCCTCTCTCATTAGGTACTATTCCGTTCATATCGATGGTTACAGCCTTGGAGACCAGCCAAACATCAAAGTATTATCTCCAAACCCAGGTCTAAAGCACATCCATACGCAACAACAAGACCCAAGATCCAAGACCCAAGACCCTGCCGTAGGGGAAACCAGCAAATCATGCCCTCGCTTCTAAAGACATCTTGTAATTCTTGCATAGCAGCCAAACGCCGATGCAGTAGAGCTATCCCAAAGTGCGAGCGGTGCTCGCAACGGTCGCTGGACTGTCAATACGCATTTCCGCCTTCTTGCCAGGCAAACTCAGATTGGAACATGGAAGATTCCGTCGGGTTGCCTCTGGCAATGGGTAACTGTACCACGGATCTGTGCCTC